AGGAGAGCCTTTTCAGTAGCAGCCCTGACCCTGTGGAACGACCTCCCCGTTGAGATTCGCACCCTCACCACCGTCCAGACCTTCCTCCCAGCCCTCAAGACCTGGCTATCCCGCCAGGCCTGGGGATAAGTTTCTAATTCACCCCGCCCGAGTGTTGAATGCTGAATGAAAGTTGTGTTTTTTACTGTTTATTTTAGTCACATACTGTTTTGTGTTATATTGCACTTCCCCTTTCCCTACGAATGTAAGCCGCCCTGAGTCCCCTCAGGGAAAAGGGCGGCCTATAAATCCCAATAAAACTCTAAACTAAAAAAAAACTCTAAACTCTACTGTAAAAAAGTGCAAAAAAATGTACTTAAACCTACCTGTATATGAAATTACTTTTCCCAGCATTAGAACCGGTCTTTTTTTTGCTTGTTTTATTTAAAACATTTATATAGCTTCCTATATCAAAGGGGTGCGGTGGCTCAGTGGCTAAGACACTGAGCTTGTCGATCAGAAAGGTTGGCAGTTCGGCGGTTCAAATCCCTAGTGCTGCATAACGGAGTGAGCTCCCGTTACTTGTCCCAGCTTCTGCCAACCTAGTAGCTCGAAAGCAGATAAAAATTCAAGTAGAAAAATAGGAACCACCTTTGGTGGGAAGGTAACAGCATTCCATGCGCCTTCGGCATCTAGTCATGCCAGCCACATGATCACGGAGACGTCTTTGGACAGCGCTAGCTCTTTGGTTTTGAAATGGAGATGAGCACCGCCCCCTAGAGTCAGGAACAACTAGCACATATCTGTAAGGGGAATCTTTACATTTACCTTTATCTTATATCAAACTCAGAGAATCTCCCAATCAACAATTAAAGCAATATCAATAATACAATAATAGATATATCTATTGAAACCATAAACATTAAAAACTTGGCACTAAAGCCCTTCCCCTTGGCTTGGCCCCTTCAGCAGGCCACTAGGAAAGCACTTAAGTCCTGGCCAATGGTCTTATCTCACCCAAAGTGCTGAGATAGGGTGAAGTGGGCGAGAAGATTTGACAATGGTCTGCATGTGGAAGCTTAAATGTGCCAGGTTTTTAATGTTTACAGTTTTAATACATGTTGATTATTGTTGATGTTTTAATTGTTGATTAGGAGCCACCTAGAGTTGCTGGGTGGCTACATGAATGTTTTAAATAAAATAAACAACAAAAGAGAAAGACTAGTTTTCAGTCTCAGCAATGTGCTAGAGCTAGTTAGGAAGCAAAAACTTTGGGGCTGTAACCAATTATGGTCTTGTCAATTTCAGGCAGCAAGCAAGACATCTGATAGGGCACTAAACAATTTGTGATTAAGGTCACAAAGCAATGAGCTTATAAACTCCCATTTGGTAAGGAGATGCTTGGCCAATATTTGATTTTAAGGCTATGACTTTTGGAGAGTAGACATGGGGGCAAAAAGGAAGGCATGCCCTCCTTTTGCTGTAAGTCTCTAATCCTGTGTAAGAACTTCTCACGATTCAAGACTTCAGTAATAAAAAAGCACTTTATTTACATAAATTACAAAAAAATCACAAACTGGATCACAAAAAGTCTACTTTAAATTCTGTTTTTTTTTTTTCAAACAATATACATCACAATAATACTTTTTAAAATGTAGATAATACTTACATTCTCTCGTTATTTTGTACTGGAGCACTTTTTTATTCCTATCATTCCGATATTCTGCAAACAATTCTATCTTTTGGTGAAAACATCCTTATAATTATTGGTCCCATATAGATGTGTTGACTGCATCTCCCATCTTCAGTGAGGCTATATTGGCCCTGATGGTGTGGATGATTGTGAGTGTAGTCCCGCGTATCAAATTGGGGAGGTTGAGTCATATTCGAACTATCAGGGAGCGTTGGTTGAAACCAACCCTTGACCTTAATATCACTTGGTTACCCTGAGCCAATTTTAGTCTGAGTTTAATTTGCAAGATGGCTATGAATATAAAAATATGGAGCAGGGCACCCAGGATATACAGTATCTCCCTTGTGGAAGGGAGAAATTAAAATTTGATAAACTGCAGATGTGATTGGTTTGAATGGCATAGTTTCAGACTTGTATATTTTATCAGAAATGTTTACTTTAGATATCTTCCACAAGGGAGATATATCCTACGTGCCCTGTTCCATTTTTTATATTCATGCTATCTTGCAAATTAAACTCCGAGACTAAGTTTGGCTCAGGGTAATCAGTTGCTATCTAGGTCAAGGGTTGATTACAACAAGTTGTCCCTGATGATGGTTCAATTATTGTTCTACCCCCAATGTAGCATCTTTCAGGTGAAAATTGCTAAATACCAAAATTCACATTTCTTCTGCATTTACCGATACAAGTAATAATACAACTATATTGCAGCAGGACCAGACTTTACCCTGGCTGTCATTGAGGAATTAGCATCTTAGGGGTTTTCTCACACATTTTACTCCCTTTTACTGAATTCAAAATAGTGTTCAGCTGAAATAGAGAATTATAAATTGATGGAAAAGTAGGAGTCCTTCAGCTAAGTTCTGAAACTTCCAAACAGATTTGCAGTACACAGTTAAAGCTATTCTACTTTCTCTATTTACTAAAACTACAGGCCTTACCCTTCAGATTATAATATCTAGTTGAATCATGCTATGATGCTAAAGGACATTGACAGCCATTTTTTTTTCTTCTCCCAGGCTGGCGTGTTTATCTTGTCAGGTTTTCAGGTAAATGTCACAGTTGGAGTAGTTTTTCCAATTATGGGTACTAGTTTAGATATTTTCATTCAGATTTCCATGTTATCTTGGTTTGGCTTTCTTGCCTTTTTTCATATGTATTTACCAGGAATATGGTATTTCCCAAATCCAGGAAACACAATTTTCCTAGCATGTTGAAATATGAAAAATGTTCACTTAATTTAGTAATGTTTAGTTTTTCCATTATAATAATGGATATTTTGGCTTACATTAAAGACACAAGTTCACAGTCACAGCACGTACAACACATAGCTAAACTTGTCTGTTCTTGAAAAAGTTAAGCTGTGTCAGACCAGGTTAGCTTTTGGTTGGGAGAGGATCAGGGTACCAGAGCCATAGAGTAGATTGAGAAATAGAGACACTATGGCAAAAGAAGGCAAAGACAAGCCAATAAACCAACATGGACATGTCCATCTAGTCCTTTTGAGCCAAGTTCTGTATGCGAGAGACTCAACTTTAAAAGGGCAAAAAGGAAGATGCCATCCATTAGTATCAGTAACACCACTAAACTGCTGTACTGGTTATGACTCAAATGAAACTTTCCTTTAGATTCTTCAGTATCAATCTTCCCCAGATTATTTAATCACTCGAGAACACTGGTAACCTTCTGTTTTGTTCTTTTTCTTTCATAATCATAGAAGCCTCTATTTCTAATCAATAGTTTTAATATGATTGGTTAGAGATCAGGCTAAGGGGAATGTTTTTCTCCATTGAGAAATACGGAAGTACCCAGTTCTAGAAGAATTGATTCTATAAAGCGCAGCTATATTCCTTGTGTAACAACTGCCAATATTTCTTGCAATGGGTTCATGTACGTGGATTGATATTACAGAACAGTCTGGTTGAAAGGAACTTCAGATGTTACTTAGTCCGACTCTGCTCAGGACAGGATGCCCTACTCTGACAGAGGACCATGAAGTTGGTTTCATCTTCAGTGAAAGAGAACTCATCACTTCATTAGGCAGATTGTTCCATTGGCTAAAGGTTGCAACACCAGGCAATTCCCCCCAGTATTTAGCCTGAACCTATTTCCTTTGTAGTTTATTCCACTGATTCTGCTCCTGGAAGAGTGGAAGAGTGAGAACTCTTCAGCTATTTGAAGACAGCTACCTCCTCCCAGTCTTCTTTGCTATAAATATCAGATTGTCAGCCACTCTCTGTAGATCAAACCAAGAAATCAATTCCACAAAAAGGCCTAAACTACTTTTATTAATATTGGCTATAGTAACAGAATTTTGCAAGTCTAACTGCTGTATCATCCCACCCCTTATACTCATGTGAACTAGGAAAGGGTCTGCCTAAGTTGCTGACACATACAGTACCTCCTTCTGGCTTTTGACTTAAATCATGTTTTTTTCCCCTTGCCACTTTGCTAATGGCTCTGGCCTAGCTTGTCAAAATTATCTTTCTTTCTTACTACAAAAATCCTTTAATTATTTTTCCTAGGGTTGGTTTTCAGACCAGTCACCAACTTGGCAACCCTCTTCTGGACTTGCTCCAGTTTGTTCCAGAAGAGAGTCCTATAAAAGAGAACCAGATATATCCAGAATTATAGTTCTTTCCCCCTTGCTTGTTTCAGTGAATCTGGAGTTGCCTGCACAGTTTGGTTCCAGCTGAAGGAGACAGTCCTGACATGCCTCCCACTGAATCAGAAATAAGAGTACCCAAGTAGCAGTTCTAAGGCATTAATTAACCCTTGGCAACCCCATTTTTTCAAAAAGGGGAAAATGTCTGCTTGTATTACATCATGCTGAGCAGCACCTAACAAAGTTCAGGCTTGTTGCTGTCACCGACTGGCAGGTGAAGCAGATCCCTGTGATAGTAGAAATGCTTCACAGCATCATTTACTTGCAGAGAAAATCTAGTACTGGTATACTATCTGTGTAGCTGATCAAAGAAAAAGAGGCATTAGAACCACCTAAGCCCCAACAATGATAATTCATCCCTGTATTGCCTAGTTCAAACACTGACATTGATAATGCTGAAAAATATTTCAACCTAAATATACTTTTAGATATCCAAGAAGTTGTTTTCATCATTTTTGTGGCCATTCTTCAGACAGATCCCCACAGGCAGTTCACATGAGGAATATTTGAGAAATGGAAAATACAGTTCAGTTTTTGAATCGGTTTAAAATTCAAAGCATGTGCTTTTTAAAATGATATTGGAAAAATTAGTCTTCCTGGTTGTGAGGTAGTTCTACCTCCCTACCTCACTCCACCCGTGAGCTGCAGGGAGAACTGCTCATTCCAGACCATGAGTAAGGCTTACATTAATAATTGCTACTGGTTCTAGTAGTCTTGTGGTATACAATAAGTATGGTGGTTTTATAAATAGAATTGCTTTAGAGAAGTAAAATTGTGCTTTTGACATTTATGTTAGCTTCCCTCGTGGCTAAGTCCTCAAATTCTTTCCACATTCCTTTGATACACTTTACTCTTGTTCTGAACAAACTTAAGAACATACTGACATAATAGCATTATTTTTTTTAGTGAGATAGAGAAATACAAGAATTCATTTTCTTCAGCTGCCAGGAAATGGATGTTCAAACGTTTCACAAACATAAGCTTCATCCCAAATGATTGTCAAGCATCAGAATTAACAGAGGTGGGGAATAAAACCACAAAAGCACACAAAGTGAGAAAATAGCTTCTTTCTTTGTGTTACTTTAGGATGAGAGTAAATATTATCTTAAAACAGAGCAAGCATTCTGATATTTAATTCTTTAAATCTTATTAAAGAAGCCCAAGTCAAAACCATAGATACTGAGGGGGCAGAAGCCTCCAATTCACCCTCACCCAAAGAAATGTAGGAAATTGTACTGCCATTGTGATTTCATTTGGATTTGGCACATTCACAAGCTTTCTCAGAAAAGCCACAAATTAATTTATCCCTTTGATATAGCACAGGTGCTAGATTTCTATTCTTGTGCAAGAAATATTTAAATCTTGCTTCAGCTGCTAACAATACGATCTTTATCCACTCTGGAAAGTTTGATGAAAGTTTTCCATGTGCCCAAGAGTTCCTCAAAATCTGGATGAGCACAGACTGTATTTTCCAATCTAACAAAGAATTTCATTTGTATTGTAATTTTGCCAGAAGCACTGAAGACCGTCACCAGCCCACCTCACCCTGTTTTTCACAGTTCAGATTTCTTCCCTGTAAACAGTTGCCTGAACAAAGGCTTCTTTTTCTCTCTCACTCAAACCAACAAACATCCCACTTATGAACAACCACTCTTTCCTTTGTCCTGCCCTCAATGAAAGTTTGTTGAGGACGTTTTGCCTCAACCTCCAACTTTGCCCAAAGCTTTTCCTGTTGTTGACTGTGAGCTTTAGAAGGTTTCACAAGCCGTGATGCAGGATTTAGTGCCTTTCATAGGCAGTAAGGTGTAAAATGTGTCCATTAACCAACTGTACAGCCAGTCATAGCAGCTTAGAAGAAATCATGGCTATGCTTGCACAAAGATACCAACTATGGTTAACAAAACTCTCTAATCAATTGGCTTTGTACAAAACACCGAGGCATAAATTAGCAAAATATATTTTTAATCTAACGTACTATGCTAACTCAACAGCCAGTCACAGATGGGTCTTGGTGTCAATTGTAACTGATGAAGTGGTTTGCACCAAAATATTCAGCACCATATATACTTAGGCGTAAAGGATTTCCCTTCAAACCCTTCAGCAGCATTTCTATAGTAGATAAATTTGCCCAGAGACGACGAATGGAACCTTTGAGAGATGAACTCCCCACCCCCTTATAGTTAGGAAGAGTTTGAGATGGTGTTTGGTGGCCCAGTTGCTCTTTCAAGGAAGCCTTTTGGTGCTTAAGAATGATAGATACTGGCAGATTCTCCAAAGAGTGACACTAACTGGAGCACCAGTTTCTCACTACTCACATAGTATTGTCCCTTGATGCATCTGACAGATTTGAAAAGGCAACTTTACGAGCAGGGATATAGTGATGAAAGCATAGAAGACAGATGGAGGCTGGGCAGGGTTTTCCATAGAGGAAAATGTGCTATTAACTAATTTAGCTCACTGGCAACACGGGCAGCTTAAAAGAAGAAAAAATTGTGCTATAATAGAGCTGTTGCCAAGAGCAAGCTACATATAGACAAGGGTTCAAGAGTCTTCCGAAAGAGAAGTTTGACTTTTCCCCCAGATCTGTTCCTGGCCCAAAACAAGTACTAAAGTTCCTTTCTCACTTGTTGACTCTTCCTTTGGATATCAGAAGGTCTGTGCATCCCTTTAGAAACCAACAAAAATGATTGCCATCCTGGTTCTAAGAGCAAAGAACTTTAGCTGATAGCTGTGGAATAGCAACGGCCCAGAAGGCAGCCAACAGTTTTTTTGTGAAACTTTAGCATCGAAGGCAAGCAGAAGAAATATTTTCCATGATAGAAGAATGTTCTCATTTTTTCCATCTGGGTGTAGTGACATTTTGTCCATTGTTTTTCTCTCACTAAGTAGCTTGTATAAACTCTTGCTTGCTTAAGATCTTACATTTCCCCATAACTGAATTCCTGTGGATTATTAGGACACAAATAAACTATTGGACTTATATTGGCACTATATCTCTCAATATTTAACTACTGTATAATTCAAGTAAGAAGATCAAGGTCTTCTTCCTCTTCATACAACGGAGGAAGGTCTGGAGATTAGAATCCCCTCTGAATAAATGTCTATAGTCCTGAATCATCATGAACGTTTTCATAGTGTAAGTCTATACAAGTAGTCCTTTGCTTATTCCGCTATTATTGCCAACAGTATTACCAACCATCAAAGAAGATTTCAATGTGCATCTTCTGTATTGTTATTAAAATATCACAATTTCAGTGTTTTTCTTCCTGGTTTTGACCAGCTCTGTATATTAAATTCCATTTGTGCATTTACTTTCCTTCTTAGATTATGTCATAAATTTGTTTATCAAAGAAAGCTCTCACTGAGTGCTAAGTTTGTAAAACAAACAGAAGAATATAACAATTTGTTTCAATGCAATTAAGGTGCCTGAATCTCCAGGTTTTTAAATATAAGATTCTCTTTCACCTCTTGCACTGTACCAAATTTTCCTTGGTTTCTTCATAATTTGAAGTCTAACAGAAAGAAATATGAAAATTAATACAAACTGAAAATGTTAGTTTAGATCACTGTCTTGTGGCCAAAATTGTACATTTCAACCAGTCCTTTATGTGTCCTACAATATGGAGCCACTGGATTACTTTAAAAAAAACAAAACCTGTCCCAAACTGTGCTGAAATACTCCTGCCTCTCTGCACTGGTCTTTGTCTTTGAGGATAAAGCTTTGATCTCATTTCTTGTGCCCCTATTCCTTTGCCTTGAAAAAAGTTTGTCCAACAGATGAACTTGGAAACTAGTTGCTGTTGTTATCTTTTAAGGAAAGAAAAGGCCCAGTAAGAAACAAAAAAAAGGCTTTTGTTTGTAGGAGATGAGCACAACAGCTACAAATACTCATGGTCACCGAGCACAAGTGTTCACAAGGATGAGGTTGTAGAATCCACCACTTCGCGGCCATTGCAAACTGTTGGGACATATTGAGAAGTTGACCCTGGGAGACACAAATTGGGAAAAGATTTCAAAGGATGGTAATTAAGAATCTCATGCTTAACAATGTGTCAAATATTCACCAACCAACCAATTATCAGTCCCCTTCCCCAATGGTCAAGGAATTCACGGTAGGCAAACTGTTCAAATGAAAAACATTACATCCAGGAAAATTGCCAAAACATGCATAATAGAAAATGAACAGACAAAAGAGTGTATCTTTGGAGAAATCTGTCAAACTAAGCACATAAAATGTGAAATAGTCATGGAAAAGGAGTAGAAATTGGTTGAAGCAAACTTTAAAATGGGGAGAGGGATGAAACCAGTCTTTTCGTTCATCACTACTTTCAAAAGAGCTAGAAATTTTATCTGGTACATTTTCTTACATATTGACCTGTTCATCTAGTTTGATTTCTAAAATGACAGCTGGCATGTTCTGTTATCTTTGCCCTTGAGAAGCTCTTCAGCTGCCTGATATTTATCTGATGTGCCTGCAGGGTCTAATCTAGCCCACCAACACTTCTGTTCAGCAGCCTGATTGGATGATGTTGCTTTCTCATTCAGATGAAGAAGGGCAAAGGAAAAGAATAAGAGCAGCAATGCCAAAATGGTGAGATGCTGTTGGAGAAGACAGGAGAGCATCTTGAAAACTTCAAACACTATACTCACTAATAATGGTAGGAATTTAAAATGCAAACTATAGACATTGGAAACACAATCAGATTATACATTATTATTATTGAAGAGAGAAAAAAAGTGATTCATGGATGTCGCAATATCGGCCAATAGTTCAATTGACCAAAAACACATAGAAAAAAACAACAAAATATGGGATTTGCAAATTGCAGTTGAAAAGATTTGGAAGAAAAGGTCAGCTTTAATACCAATAGGAATCAAATGTCTTGAAGCCTTAACAAAGAGATTCTCCAAATATTTGGAAATTTACTGGACTTGACACTAATGTCTTTGGGAGGCGGGAAACCTACTGCCAACAGCCGGTGAGATCCCACAGAGTGGGCCTCCTTCAGATGCCGTCAGCCAGATAGTGTCGGCTGGCAGCTCCCCGGAGGAGGGCCTTCTCTGTGGCTGCTCTGGCCCTTTGGAATGAACTACCCCCAGAGATCCGGACCCTTCCCCACTCTCATGGCCTTCCGAAAAGCTGTT